ATTTAGCGGCCAGTTAAACAGTATCAAAAATATTTAAAATTTTGGTCACTCAACTTATTCTTTAAAATGTGACATTTTAAATTATGTTAATAAGGTATGGGTCGTTTGACCTACGGGTCATATGACCTACAAGTGTTTACTTACAAAATATTGATATGGTGATAACTTTTGAACCATAATAGATAGAGGGGTGTTTCTCTCTCTCTCTCTCTCTCTCTCTCTCTCTAATTAATCAATTAATTAATTAATTTTTATTTATTTATTAGGACAACGAGAGCACCGTTACATTAAGTCTCGATATGTACAAGGATACACCACATAATGTGTATAACATGTATCAAATATTTTATTATAACATATGTCGGGAATGGGATTGCGATCCAATAGTCTTAGACCTGGTATACAATATATAACATTTCATCAAATTTTAGCAATAATGATAAATTATTGAAAAACTAACACTTCCTTGATACTTATTTACAGTTAACTGCAATCATATTATTTAACCCAAAGTCGCCTAACCTTATAGACAAGCATTTAGTGAAGTAAGTATTTGTCGTAATAATAAATTACCTATGTTATTAATTCACAATCTACTGATACCTACCCCCCCCCCTCCCACCAATAGATTTCAACAACACGTATACATGTATTTACTTCAACGCTACCTACTATTGAGATATCGGGATGAATGTTGGTCTCAACCAAAATACCAGAGATTATTGAAAACTTTGAAATACTTGTCCGACACGATTGAAACCAAAATGAAAATAGGTGTGGACACGGATCCCGAGACCATACCCTCGCGACTGATCAGGGAGATATTTAGTTTGAGGTCAAAGGCCGACATGTATGATGATACTTTTGGCACGGGTATCTTTGCCGATTAAATTATTTTCGGACAATTATGTAGCAATTTATTAAGTTTTTAAAAATAAAGTATGTTTTATAAAGTGTAATGAGTATTTTGTTGTGTTAAATTTTTTATTTGTTTAGTAATAAATGTAGATAGTTATTTATAAAGTAAGCTTGCACTCAATTTGGATCTGGATAGTTTATGCAGTTTATTTAAGTAACGTGCGAACTAAGTTTGTAATATACAATAAAATTTGATCATTATAATTAAAGTTTAATAAGAATTTACATAAAGTTTTCTAATTAATACAACTTGTTTTGTTTACTTTTTTTAAGTTATATGTTTTTTGTTAATTTTCATTATAGATTTTAATTTAATTTTTTATTATGAATATGAATATGACGATTTATTATATAAATAATACATGATAAAATATTTATATCTAACAATATTTATTTAATTAAAATACAATTTGTTTCAAAAGAAAACACTGGATTTTGTCTAAACTATGGCCCAATTTATGAAATTTATTTAATCCACTTAATTTGCATTTAATTTATTTTAGTGATATTTTTCAAATATATATGCTGATTGCTAATTCAAATGATATTTTCATATAATATTTCTTGGATTTATGTTTCAGATTTTTTATCAAATACTTGGCCTTACTTTATCACATAATTCATATGAACAATACATATAAAGCCAGCAATTTTTATTTAAATCGGATTTCAAGCAATTGGTTATAATTTATAAATCCTGTAATAAACAAGTATACATTTGTTTAAGTAAATTTTAATGTTTTGATAGTATTTTAATATTAAATGTTGTATGCATATGAAAAACAAAGTTAAAATCTTTTTATTTAATTTATTTAACTTTATTTTAAACAAAAAATTTAATTAATATTAAAACATTTCATTCATTTAAGAAAATTGAAAATAAATTATTACAAATTAGGCCATACTAAATTTATTAAGTAAATAAGTACTGAATAAAATAAAATGCATATTTAATATACTAATTATGTACAGCTTTGTAATGTCTCTTAAGGTTTCCACTTTCGGCAAACCTTTTGCCACAATCACGATAATCGCAAACAAATGGTTTGAGTCCTAAATGTACGGATCGTTTGTGTCGATTGTATTCGCAATTTTGACCAAATCTTTTCGCGCAACCATTGAATTCACAAACATATGGTTTGATGTTATGTGCGCTATATTTGTGCGAAAGTAATGTTGATTTCCGCGTAAAACTTTGCTTACAATCATTCAAATGGCAAACAAATGGTTTTTCATATAAATGAAGGTTTTTGTGGTATTTTAGTCCAGTTCTTGATTTAAAACTTTTGCCACAATTTTCTTCATTACATTTATATTTCTTTTCCTTCAAATGAAAACTACATTTGTGTTGATTTAGGCCCCCTTTCACTGTAAACTGTTTGCGACATTCACTCCAATCGCATACATATCTCACGTTTAAATGAACACTCTTTTTATGTTTAATAAGAGTATCTTTGAATAAATAACTTTTGTTACAATTATTGAAATCACATTTATATTTCTTGATATAACTTGTATGAATTAACACATGTTTATTTAAAAGAAGTTTGATTTTAGTCTTGTACTGACATTTAGGCCAAAAACAGTGGAAATAGTGATAAGTGTTGAGTGTATTAATGGTGTTGTGATTGGAAAGCATTTTATCACTTATTTTACATGAANTGTTGAGTGTATTAATGGTGTTGTGATTGGAAAGCATTTTATCACTTATTTTACATGAATTCAAATCAATTGAATTGCAATTCATTGACAAATTCACTGCATTTTCGCATTCAATCCCTTCACACAAAACACTTGCATTTTGTGTCAAAAAACACTGCATTTGGTCTACACTTTGGCACAAATCACGAAATTCATACAATCTTGACAATAAACTATTCATTTTAAACACAGATTATTTAATAATAATTTTGAAAACTTATAATGTAGTTAAAATAATTTAAAAGTATTCTCCAAAAAAAATAAATTATTTCTCACACTTATTGTCCACTCATTCAGTGATAATAACGGTCTGACTCTAACCGACAATTCATTTGAATAAGTCTTTGCAAACTGTGTGTCAAATGCGAGTATTTTATGGTGTTTTTGGTACATATGTTGACCACATGTTTGTCTCAAATCACATACGTTTTTGCCTTAAATCCTAGGCTAACCCACTAATTACTAATTGATTGCAAACACACAATTTTCCCGCTTATTGTCAAAACTATTAAAATAACACTAAAGTATCCATGTTAAAATAGGTAAGTATAATTTATTATTTTAATATTTGTGCTATAATTTTATATAATTTAAATAAAATGCCAATAAACAGTTAAAATTTTGTGCATCATAAATTTTATACAGTTATATAAACAATATTATATAATAGAGAGCGTAAGTGAATGTATTTATATGAATGAGAGAGAGAGAGAGAGAGAGAGAGAGAGAGAGTCCGAGTCTGCACAGTAGAGTCTATGTACTTAATCAGGGTGCATTTCCTCAAGGTTAATATAATATGATAGTAAATACTTGAGGTAATTATCAATAAGACAACACTACTATTACATGTCCTTTAAAATCAATAGAAGTTCAATAAGTGTTGTCTTAGAGATTAATGAATATAATTGATCAACATACATTTTGATAAGTTTAGTTAATTAAATATGTTTGCGAAATTAATATTCGCTACAAAATAAAACATTTATTTTGTAAAATACAACACCTGGTGTACTGTAATATTATTACCTGTATATAAATTGTTTATAAATCAGTGTATGTTTATGATACTACATAATGAATTATAAAAAGGTGCCCCAAAAGTGCTTGATATGTGGTGACAAGGCTTATGGTAAGTCATATACGGGCTATTTCTATCTAGCTTATTTATTTATTTTAGAAATAATTATTTAACTGGATGTTTTAGGCAACAACTTCGACACCCTGTCCTGCCTGTCCTGTAAGGCATTCTTCCGTAGAAATGCATTGAAAACAAAAGTAATGCTAAAAATATTTATAAAAAACATTGATTTTTAATATATATTTTTCCCGTTAAATAGGAGTTTGTGTGTCATTTCGGATACAACTGTGCGGTGAATGTATTGACGCGAAAATTCTGTATTAAATGCAGACTTAATAAGTGTCTCGCAATGGGAATGAAAAAAGTTTGTTATAAATAGTGTTACTAAACTTTTTTATAACTCTCTCTCTCTCTCTCTCTCTCTCTCTTTCTCTCTCTCACTCACTCATCCATAGGATATAATACTGAATGAAGAGGAACGGGAGGCTCGGTACCAGAAAATACAAATGAATCGCAAAACTCGCAAAACAAAGGACTTATCAATGGATGAGACCATAGACTCGAAGACAACGACATCGAGTGATAGGCATTCAGATGAGACACTTAGCCATACGTCCCATACAGACACCACTTCACCACATATTCACTACACAGACATCACATTCCATACCAAACACACCAATGATTACCGCAAACACAGCACAGACTCACAGACCATAGACTTCTCGGACCTCATGACTGACACCAATATATCTGAAGGACAGTCACCATCAGACCTACCTATCCATCGACCGCTAATGGACTACAGAAACCAATTCACGGAATTAGAGGGCAATAAACTACAGGAGCTACAGCTGGCGGCACAGATATTCCCTGAACACCGGGTGCGCACCTATAGCCTGATGCCGGCCGACCAGGACTACTGCCTATGGATTGTAATGCCATTGAAATTAGAGCAACAGTTGAGACGTATTGTGAAAATGTCTAAACAGTTGACACAATTCAACAGTATTTGCGAAAACGATAGGATTTCCCTCATTAAGTATGGCTTTCTCGAGCTGTTTTACATCCGATCCGTACCCATATTTAATTGCCAAAATGATACCTGGACATATGTTATGGTCAGTGACTATTTAGCTATTATAACTTACATGTTTAGTTAACGTATTAATTTAGTTATAATTAATATAGTAATAATTATACTGTGTATATAGTATTACAATGTAATGCACTAATATCTTAATAATCAATTGTTATTAACTATTTTTTTTAATAATGTTTCACATAATTTATTTTATTTATTTGTTAATATTTTTTAATTTTTGTTGTTTATTATAACAATAGGATTACGAGAACTCCGTTACGTTTAGTTTGGATATAATGAGAGACTTTCCGTTAAATGTTTACGAGTTTTACAAAACCTTTTTTTATCACATTTGCCAGGAATGGGATCGGGATCAATTGATACTCGATTTGGTATTTATATTATAAGCTTGTTAATGGACAAATTATAAACTAGAAAATTATTTATTTATAGTTAACAGCCATCATACTGTTTAATCCGGAGCGACCTTACATTAGGCATAAAAATACTGTAAAGTATGTAATTATCTATGAATTTTCATTAAATAGTTTGTTTCAATGTTAATGAATATTTTAAAATTATTTATCATGCTAGATTTCAACAGCAAATATACATGTATTTACTGAAACGCTATCTACTATTGAAATATCGCACGGAATCGGAATCGAGTGATAAATTCCGGACACTTATGCAGTGTTTACACGAATTGTATGTAATGGCCGAAACTAAACGTACCTTGGTCTACCTCAATTATAGCGCTGACAAAGTGCCCTCGTCAATGCTTCGGGAGGTGTTTGAGATTAAGTCTAAGCAGGATTATGAGCTCAATGTACCTGGCAATATTTCGTGTCAATTAAATAAGTAGCATAATAAATTTGTTTTTATTTTTATTGTTGAATAATGCATTTATAAATTAGTAAAATAATCGTAAAACTTTTACACAAATAAACATTTAATTTAAGTTTAATCATAGACGCTTAAAAAGCTTCATAACACATATACGGAATGTATGATAAAATCAAAAGTTAATAAATAAACAAAATTAATTAGTATTGGCAATTTTATGTTTATTGAAATAGGCAAATCCTAACTATAAAGCCTTTAAACAAACATCCATAATATAATATTGTAATATAAAAATATTCAAGGATATATTTGAAGTGTACGAACGTTAACCCTAATTGCGGTCTAAAGCAGACTGAGTGGTGACAATAATCGGTAGATTAATATGCAGGTCCACAGCGTGTGGGATGTCCAGGGTCACATGCACCACGTATTTAACACTTATGACATCACTTTTGATGGACAGTGAGGCGCTTTTGGGTATCGGTATGTGTATAATATCCGTATTGTTTGCATTACTGGCCATCTTTTTGCCAATTATGTGCTCAGTTAGCACTCGGTCTACGGCTTTATGGCATTCCCCGGACTGGTAGACACGGGTCTGGTATAGAGTAGCTCTGGGGGTCACTGCGACTGTCGATTTGTTTGCCACATAACAGTGCACTTCAATTGTCTCGCCTGTAATTGAACTTATGTTGAGAGAGAGAGAGAGTGATTCATTTGTATTTTCTGGTACCGAGCCTCCCGTTCCTCTTCATTCAGTATTATATCCTATGGATGAGTGAGTGAGAGAGAGAAAGAGAGAGAGAGAGAGAGAGAGAGAGATTTGAACAAACCTGGTAAATAGCCTTTTCGGGATAAACTGGTGTGAAATGCAATCTATAATTTATTAATACGTACAAATTATCAAGTTAAATTAAGACAATTATATAATTCAATGTACTTACAGATCCAGACCCCATATTAGGGAACACCGACAATGTTTTATCAGCATGTCCGCCCACAAATACCTATTTAATACAATATATAATTTAATTATTAGTTTGTAAAAAAATTATTGCAAAAATGGTCTTGGTCAACCTTAAGATTGTGTCTCATGGGCGAGTCAACAGTGATCCGGGTCTTGATTGTGTTCACCTCATCACTATCGGGCTCATCAATAGCCGCCTCTACGTTATAGTGGATCCAGGCGTGAGTGTCCTCGAATGACGAGGGTGATCCACTGCAAGGGTATTTGTGATTGGTTAGTTTTATAACAATTTTGAAACTAATTTATATTTTATTAAATTAATAATTATCGGCTAAAACTTCAAAATAAATTAATTTTTCTAAAATAATTGACTCACTGATCAGGTATCTTTATGTCAAACGGAATTGTATGTACACCACGATCCAGGGGTATTTCGTGGGCTATTTGGAATATTGCATAATTATATGAAACACCATGGTCAAATCATTGTAATGTATTTATTACCATCTTTGCTCATATCAAAGGGGACGTCCAAAAACTTTTTATTATTATGGTACATGATAGCACCCTGGTATGTAGGTGATGGTACATGCTCAGCCCAGTTGGCCTCACCCACACAGACCAGGCTTATCCGGACACTCGATGCCAGTACCCGACCAGTTGAGGCGAATTTCAAGCTACCGGTGACCCGATCGCCGACCACGTAATGCTTTGACTCATTATCCAGGTCAATCTCCATGTTTGTTACGTGCTTTGATTCCATTGTTAATTATCTAGATTAATTTTAATGCTTGATTAATAAGTAAATTATAATTTAGAAGCAATTTTAGTAATTATTATAAACAGAATAATTAATTTAGAAATGAAATTGAATTATAAATGCGATATACTATACATGTTATGGAGTCAAACTAAAATAAACATTTTATTTAAAATTATAATATAGAAATGTACTTAACACAAATACCTTTAATTGACTTAACACTTGTGTAAATATAATTTAACTTAATAATAACTTTTATGTAAATGAAATAGATTTTATAATTTTTCACATAAAGTACTTCACTTTATATAACATTTGATTTCAAATGAATTATAAATTATTACATAATTTTTATAATATTTACAAATTGAATGGCATTTCTAAATAACTATAAACAGGAGATTACTTTTAAAGTGTTTACCAATTATGAATTGAGCTCATAAATATTTATTTCTATTAATAGGGTAGGTCACATTAAATTAATAGCCTACGTGAAATTGTACCGATGTAATGCACACTTTGATAGACATGTCTGGTATTATATGTACAGTATCAATAATTTAATTATTTGAAATGTGTTATTACAAAAGATTATGGATTTTTAATCTATAATATTTATTAATATATTTTTATCTTAAAATTGGGTTAAAAGTTTTACTTATAAAATTACTACAAATTGTATTTTGTATTTTCAGAGAGTATTGCAGGTAGGCCATATAGATAAGTGTACATAAGCTTAGTATAGTAAGTATAGATAAGCGTACAAAGTACTGTATTTCCCAAACTTATGTTTACTACAGAATATATATTTACAAATAAAAAATTATTCAATTGTTTGTTTGAACATGGGCACATAGTACAGTTCAAGTAAAATATTCTAATTATAATATGAGCGAGTCATATTTTGTTTATTTACCCTACATGATGACATTTTAATTAAAATTTCATAAATTAATAATAAATTATATTTTTAAATGTTTTATGTAGTAGAATATTTTTTAAATACAATGTAACAATAATCTAGGTTATAATAATATATAAATTAAACAATTTAATAAAAGTATTTTAATATTAAAGTTAACATTGTAATTTTTATAAATATTATATTCGATAGAGTAAGTGAATATACTAGAATATTATAATAACCTAGGGCACATATTGAAGCAATAAATTTACCCAGTCTCCCCAAATTCTAGAATAAACTAGATATTAAATTCATATAAAAGTGGAAAATAAAGTATTTTCGCCTAATTGTTTTATTGTAA